GCAACACACCTTCCTCCCAGGTGCAAAGTCAATTGTTGGGCCTCCTGTGACTTCAACTGCAACAACACCCGCAAGCTGAAAGGGTGATTAACATAACTACCTATCAGATATCAGACAATATCTTTTGTTGTTAAATGGTAAGGCACTAATTTGCATAAAGAAAATACACTCCACTAACGGCCTGGCAAGTTAGGTATATCTAACACTTTAAAACAGCATGGTCTATTCCCTGATCCCAACAAACATTTGAAACCATGACATCCTTCAACTAATTCCTCCAGAATTTTACTACTTTATCTGAATGTACCAAGTGCAAATAACTCCTAACTTAAAAGAAACAGTACAACAACCAGCTTGCCAGATTCTTTTAAAGCCTATAATCACCTGGTATAGGTCTGCATATGTAATCTTTGGGTGTTTAGCCTTCACTCCTTCTGTAATTTTAAAGAAACAACACTCTTTAGTAACAAAAATAATTTTTTTTTAAAAAAAAATCCCAATTTCAAGTGAATACAAAAACTAAGAAATATAATCCTTCAATGCAACTGCACAACTGTATTAGGAACTGAAAAAATGGTCACTTCGATCAGAAGTGATGACAGCTCTTTACTACTTCTGATAGTTTAATCAAGTCAATGTTTGACTTATATCTCTAAAAAAAAAAAAATCTTCCCTCAAATTGTATACTGATAAAAATAATAATCAAACAAAATAATTCTGGAGCTGCATTTAATTATTTTTATAATTTTAATATGACAAAAAAAAATGTTGTGGGGATAAGGAAGAGGAGAAGGGTGTTGGCTTGGGGCCCACGACGATGAGAAGAGATGGCAATCGGCGTGGGTCCCGCCGCCGCAAGCGCGCACATGAGCCAACGTCGGACGGCTGCCAACTACCACCCAAAAAAGAAAGAAGTTGGTAGCGTGTGGTCGTGTGCGATATCGACGTTTTCCAGCCATAAAGCCCCTAGAGATCCCCTCAAATTACAAAACTTGCCATTTTCGATTCCTTTGAAAATTTTCCATCAACCATATTGTTAAGTGGGCAAAATAAAATCCCCTTTTATGCCCCTAGATTTATCCCAAATTAACTTGTAAGCCCTTAAATTAAAAACGGTACAAATATGCTCTCAAATCCTTCAAAAGATACAAATTAATCCTCATCACTAACGACCATGCATGTGACTCCATACTATCTATTCCTTTCATTCACTTGGTTCCCTTTTCTATTTGAATATCGAAACACCTCTTAAGTGATAAAAATCCTTACAAAATTAATGATTTATATGACATAAGAGCACTAAATTAAAAAAAATGTGTCATGTGGGCTGTTTTGACGAGATTATTACCATCTATGGGATTTTTTTATCCACATCAACATTTACATGGAAAAAGTGACTAAGCAAAGGAAAAAAACAAATGACATAAGATCATATGCTTTGGCTCCTTAATGATGAAGGTTAATTTGCATCTTTTGAGGGGTTTAAGAGCTAATTTGCATTATTCAAGAGATTTAAGAGATTATTTGCATAATTTTTAATTAATTTAAGGGTTCTTGTGTTAATTTAGGACAAGTTTCGGGGTTTAAAAATGGGTTTTGCCTATTAAATACTAACTTTAATGTTTTTTCCCTTTTTACCATGCACATATTATTATAAATTTTTTGATCACTCGGCTTTAAATAAATAGACACATACTCTATATATATAATGAATCCCTCCGAATTAGAGGAGTTTATAAAATTTATACCATACGTTAGGTTATATTGTAAAAAAATTTCATTATGAATAAACGTTATAAAAAATTTATTTTTTGACAATTAATTTTTGAGTGACAGCAACCTGCAAAATGTTTAAGATAGTATGCTTCATAAATTTTCAAGCATTAATTTTTATCATAATTTATTTATGGTAGATTTTTGATACATTAATTTATCTTCAATGCAGTACATTAATAATGATATGTAACTTCATAAACTTTATATGTAACTTACTATGCGCAATATTAAGAGTACACGATTATATTGTCCTTATGCTAATCTTAAAATTTGAATCATAAACTTTAATTTATAAAACAATACTTAATAACAATAGTCGACTCCACCAATAAAGTATAAACATATATAATTTTCTCGATAAATTCAGTAAATTATTAAAAACACAAAAAAAAAAAAAAGAGTAAATCTAACTACAACTTCTCAAGATCTCGATTTGTACTACTTAGGGATCAAATCTTATTTCATATTGTTTTCCTTATGATCCAAAGAAGAAAACCAAAAGAATGTATTCGAACATAACTTAAATTCAATGGTGATGCTGCTTTCAAGGCAGTTGCCAAGAAACTGAGAAAGGAAGGCACACCTACCTTTTAGAAGTGGTACCATCATTTTTAAGCACAATATTCCATTCCATTATCTCCATTGACAATACCACCTTCAACTTGCTATATACCACGTGATTCATGAAAATAAGGATTAATAAACATAAGGGGGGAGGAAGAAAGTTGAATTTGTGTTTATGCTAAGAAAATGTTGATATTTCATAAACATGGATATTTTTAAATGAATGAATTTCCTTTACTTGAATTTTTAGAAATAAATGAAATGATTGCAAATGAAATCTGAATGTTACTTGATATCAATTTGTGGCATTTTAATGAATACGACTCAACTAACCCAATCCAAGTTCCCTCCCTGTCATGATTTATCACCTAATCTAGTACCCAGGTTTTGGAATGTTAAAGGCATTATTCCCAAAAACTAACATATTTTTCTTCTAAATATATAATCTAGTAAGATGGGCTTTGTTTGACATAGGCGAAAAAAATTAAAAAATCATAAAATTATTTGTTTCTTCTGATATTTTAATAAGGTTTAATTAAAGGATAAAGGACCTGTTAAATAATTGAACATTAAAGGGGTAATTAGGTAATGAATGGATCTAGAAGAAAACCAAGAGGGACCACATGAAGGGCATGCACGTGATGTTTTGGTGGGGGGTTTTGAAACTAAATAACAAATTAAGGTGCAACAATTATTACCCTATTGATGGGGAGATTTTGGTATAATTATTAGTGACAGAACCTTGTTAAACACAATTTTCTTCCATTGCAAGAGAAAAAAAAAATATCCCATGGAAGCTTCTAATGTCTCCACCTAACACCTTTGAAAACGGAAAAAGCAATGGTGAATTGTGGAAAAAAAAGTGATCCCCTTTTTCTATGAACTAAAGGGGCCATTATTTCTTTGGATTTTGTTCCAACAAAGCTAGCACTCATGTGTCATTTTGCTCTTGCTCCATCTTGTCATTGGGTTTTGCTTTGATTCTCAGCACTCCAGCAGGTGTTTGGGGTTTATTTCTTTCTTCTCATAATGGTATTCTTTTCAACTTTCATTTATTTATCTTTAAAACCATTTCTCCATCCCATGAACCCTTTTGCTAAAATTGATTTAGTATTGAGTATAAGGTTGGTTTAACACCCATCACCTTGTCTTATATTTTAGTGCTGTTGTGAAAGCACCGGCTTAACGACGACTCTACTGACATGTTATTGAATTAAATCCGGCCGTTTTGCCTCAATGCTACCTGTGTTTTTGGTACCATTGACTTCATTAAACTAAATCCCATGGCAAGATTATTGAGAGAAATCCGACTCCAACACCAAACATGCCTATTTAATCCAAAAAAAAA